GAGACAGAAAGAGAAAGAAAGAGGCACAGAGAGGAAGGAAGGAAGGAACAGAGAGAGAAGGGAAGAAGGGAAGGAGGAAGGAAGAGTGACACGGGAGGTTTGTATTGCAAGAAAGCCAGCCCAGCATGTGATCACATGGACCAAGGGCTGAAGTTGACCTCCACCCTCTCCAAGCCAACCAATCCCTGAGCCAGAGCTGGCCATCTGAGCTGAGTTTCCCACCAGGGCACCACTGGCATATTGGGGAAAATGCATCTTCATTGGCTAGGATGTCCTGCACATTTCAAGGAATTTAGAATCCCTGATCACCTCCTAATAAATACCAGGAGAGGTCCCCAGTCACTTTCAAAACCCAAAACACCCCATGCATTTCCTTTTTTTTTTTTTTTCTTTTTTAAAGAAAGATGACTGATAAGGGGATCTTAACCCTTGACTTGGTGTTGTCAGCACCACACTCGCCCAGGGAACTAACTGACCATCCCTATACGGGATCCAAACCCGCGGCCTTGGTGTTATCAGCCCCACACTCTCCCGAGTGAGCCACGGGCTGGCCCCTGCACTTCCATTTCTGATGCCCTTCTGGGTACTCTGTCCCCAGTTCTTTTAATTACATCTGTCCCCGTTGGAAAATCTTACAGTGCTGTTATGTTTCTTACAGAATAATTAATAATGGCTCACATTTGTGGAGCACCTTCTCCATGCTCAGCATTTTCTAAGCACTTCATATGTATGAATTGACTTGATCCTCACAGAAACCTTTATTATAAGGTGGGCACTGCTGTTATCCCCATTTTACAGATGAGGAACATGAGGCTCAGAGAAGTTAAACAACCTGCCCTAGAGCACAGCCCGTAAGTGGCAGAGCTGGGATTCAGACCTATACAGGTCTGACTCTGGAGCCTACACTCTTCACCACCACCCAGGCTGCAGCCCCCAGATGCCGGCTGCCCGCTCCTCCAACCTTCCCCTCTCGTGCTCACTCCTCCTCGGTTATCCCACGTGTGCATGCGAGCACACACCCCACGTCAGACCACTCACTGTCCCCAGAACATACTACCTTAGCCCATGCTGGCCCCTCCCGCTGGAATGTCCTTCCCTCGATCACCCTCAGTTAGGTCTTTTCCATCATCAGAAGTTCCTACTCAGATGGTGCTTTCTCCAGGAGGTTTCCAAGCTTCCCCCAGGCAGAAACAGCTATTCCATTCCCACAACCTCCCCAGCCCTAGAGCCGTGTCCCCAGTAAGCATGTGATGCGTCCGCCTTGGAGGCCAGCTACCTTGTGGATGTTTCTTGAGTGGCTGGCCAACTCTGAGTCCCTGGTGTCTGTTCTCAGCATTGGCTGGTGGTCCAGCCCTCTTCTCCCACAAGAGCCCCCTCACCACCAGCTTTCTTGCTGGACCTCCTCGCCACACCAGCTGGCCAAGCTGTATGTCATCTCCCAATTTGCCATTTCTAGGAATAACTTTGACCACCACCTCCCTCGGTCCCTGTATTAGTCCATTTTTGTTGCTTATAGCAAAATACACAAAACTGGGTGATTTATAAAGAAAAACGAAATTTATTGCTTACAGTTTCTGAGGCTGGGAAATCCAAAGTCCATCTGGTTGTGGCAACAGTGACCCAGGGGTCTCACATTACAAGATGGCGGAAGCAGAGAGAGAGAAAGACAGACTCTCCTCTTTTAAAGCCCTCGGAACCATGCCCCTGACCATTTTTAATCCATTCACTACTGCACGGTCCTACAATCCAATCACCTCCTTAAGGCTCCACCTTTCAATTTCCATAATAGGATTTCCCACCCTCTTAACAGTCACAGTGGGGGCTAAGTTTCTAATACATAAAACTTGGGAACACAATTCAAGCTTCAATCAGTTTTGGGGGGACATTATTCAATCCACTACATTCTGCCCTTGAGCCTCCAAAATTCATGTCTTTTCACGTGCAAATACATTCATTTTATCTCCAAAGTCTTAACTTGTTTCAGCTCAAAAGTCCAAAGTTCAAAGTCCCATATATGAAATCAATACAAGTTATCTACTGCCAAGATACAATGATGGGACGAGCATAGGGTACATATTCCCATTCCAAAAGGGAGAAATAGGCCAAAAGAAAGGGGTTACAGTCTTAAACAAATCCAAAACCCAGCAGAGCAGGCATTAAATCTCAAAGCTGGTGAGTCGGGTACCTTGACTCCATGTTCCACATCCTCTGCATGCTGGTGTGGGGGACGAGTCCCCAAGTCCTTGGGCAGCTATGCTCCTATGGCTTTCTGGATCATAGGCCACACTTCAGTTCTCCCAGGCTGGCATTCCACTCTGGTAGCTCCACAGGTCTGGGGTCTCCATGGTGGTCCCACTCTCATGGCTCCACTAGGCATGGCACTGTTGGGGTTTCTCTGCTGCAACTCCGACCCCACGTTTCCGCTCGGCATTGCTCTAGTGAAGACTCTATATGGTGACTCTGTCCCTGTGACAGATCTCTTCCTGGGCCCCCAGACTTTTCCATACATCCTTTGAAATCTGGGTGGAGTCTCCCAAGCCTCCACAGCTCTTGCATTTTGCAAGCCTGCAGACCTAATACCATGTGGATACCACCAAGGCTTCCACTTTGTATTTTCCAAAGCTTCATGTCCAGCCACATCTGGAGCCAATTTAGCCCCACCTGGAGTAGCCAAAGCAGCTGGGGTGCTGGTGCTAGAAGCAGCTTCCTCAGGTGGCCTTGAGCAGTGAGTTTTTTGAAGGTGCCTCAGGTCTATTCCCCAAGACCATTCTGTCTCCCTGGGCCTTTGGGCCTGAAATAAAAAGGTTGGCCCCAGAGGCTTCTGCAATGCTTTCAGGGCCTTTCCCCCTTCTCTTGATAATCCCTTTCCTTTCTACTAATCTTCTTAGCTAATGGTTGCTGGCTGCACCAGTGTATGTTCTCTGCTTCTCTACAACATGGCCAGGCTGCAAATTTTTCAAACCTTTATGTTCTGCTTCCCTTTTAAATTCTGGCTTTATGTTGTGCCTTTGCCACCGTAACTCAATGCAGGCTGTTACAAGTAGCCATGCAACTTCTTGAATGCTTTGCTACTTCGAAATTTCTTCCGTCATATACTCTGGTTCACAACTCTTAAGTTCCAACTTCCACAAAGTCCTAAGGCATGGGCACAAGGCAGCCAAGTTCCTTGCCAGTTCACACAAGGGTGATCTTTGCCCCTTCTGATTTCTATCTGAGACCACCTTAGAATGGCCTTTATAGTCCATATTTCTATTAGCATTCTTCTTGCCACCATGTAGCCAGTCTCTAAGACATTCCAAACTTTCCCTTGTCTCTTTGTCTTCTTCCGAATCCCTGCAAACTCCTCCAACCTCTACCTAACATACAGTTCCAAAGCTCCTTCCACATTTACAAGTATTTGTTATAAGTGACACCCCACTTCCCTGTACCAATTTTCTGTATTAGTCCATTTTTGTTACTCATAACAAAGTACATGGAACTGGGTGGTTTATAAACAAAAATGAAATTTATTGCTTACAGTTTCTGAGGCTGGGAAATCCAAAGTCCATCTGGTGGTGGCAACAGTGACCCAGCGGTCTCACACCGCAAGATGGTGGAAGCAGAGAGAGGAAGACAGACTCTCCTCTTCTTTTAAAGCCCTCAGAACCACACCCCAACCACCATTTTTAATCCATTCACTACTGCATGGTCCTACAATCCAATCACCTCTTCAAGGCCCCACCTTTCAACTACCATAATAGGATTTCCCACCCTCTTAACAGTCATAGTGGGGACTAAGTTTCTAATAAAACCCATAAAACTAAAGCCCCCATAAAACTTGGGAACACAATTCAAGCATCAGTGAGTTTGGGGAGGACATAATTTAATCCACTACAGTCCCAAATCCTATCCCCCAGGATCCTGGAGTCACCACCAGGAGGGTGTCATTTAGCTTCAAGTCATCCTACCATCCAAGTTGGTAATGGGCAGATAGGACCCAAGGGTTTCCATACCCCGACTCTGCCCTGCCCATGGTCTGCTGGCCCTGTCCTGAGCACAGACTCCCTCAGCACAAGGCTAATGACTCTTCTCCCCCACATTCTTATCTGGGTCCCCTCCCAGCCATTATAATAGCAGCACCATTGAGTGGTTCGTTACCTAGCAATTTGCAATCATTAATTATTGGAAGTTGCAGAGTGGGGCCATGAAGGAGGACGGCGTGATTAAGCTCATTTGGGTTTTTTTTTTTTTTTTTTTTCCGTGTCCGGCAACGGATCGCAACCCTCAGTGTTGCACCCATACCGGACCAGGGACCAGCAACGGGATTGCAAACCTCGGCGTTGCTCCCACGCCTCGCTCAGCCAGTGAGCGGCAGCCGGTCTGTATGTGGGATCCGAACCCTTGGGCGGCAGCGCTGCCGCGCCTCCCAAGCGGCACACTATCCAGTGTGCCACTGGGCCGGCCCAGGACGGCGTGATTAAGCTCATTTGGAAATCAAGTTAATGGAGTGATGGAGAGGGATGGCTGCCTGGTCCAGAGCAAGAACCCCTCCTGTACCTGCTGAGCCAGGCTCTGGCCTGGGACCAGGGCTCAGATTCCCCAGGAGCAAAACAGGAAGGTGATGCTTGGAGACACCCCAAGTTGGGTGAAACAGAAGCATCTAGAAAGACAGACATTAGGATAGACGTGAAAGACTAAAATGGACACTGTGGCCACTTTCTAAGTTGATGCTTGTTCCAACTTGCCTACCGCCCCCTTGAATTCCTGTGCTTCCTCACCTCTGCTCTGCCTCCTGGCCCCAAGAACTCTCCCCCAACCAAGCTCTTAGAGTTATCCCAAATTCCTTAGGCATAATTAGGCGTTATTAACCTTCGGGAATTGGTTTAACAGAGGGCATTTAAGGGGAAAGGGTTAAACACGCTCCCCTACCCCACCGCGCTCTGGAGGAGGATGCTGAGTAGACATCCCTTCTCCCAAAGCTGAGAGAAAGATGCTTCTGCCTGCACCCATATTTCTTCCAGACGAGACACAATTATTTCCCCCACTTCCCTTTCCAGCGAGCAACAAGACGACATGGCCCCTGATATACGGGCAGCCAGCGGGCTCCCTGGGCTGGGCAAGGATGCATCTGAGAGCTGCCGCCCCTAAGTCATCTCCCTCCCCCGTGACTCTGGGGAGGAATCTCAATGAGGAAAGCAAAGCTCCTGGCCAGGCTCCCAGCCTCTCCCATCCTGGGGCCCAGCGCTTGAAATTTCCTCCCCATGGTGGAGACCTAGAGGGGCTGCTGCTTCTGCCTGTACCCACCTCCTTCCTCTCCTCCCATCACAGCCACAGTGAGCAGGTCAGCATCTTGCCCTCCTCCAGGCTCCTGCCCAGGCTGTGTTCTCTGTCTGCAATGCCACTTATAACTCAGACATCTGTTCCTTCAACAAGCACTGAGTAGCTACGGTTAGCACTGCTAATACAATGTTGAAGAAGGTGAGATTAATAAGCCCCTTCCTGAAGCATAATAGAAGTTTAGCAGGTGCATGAAAAGGCTGAGGGAAGGGTGTTGTGGGCAAAGGGGGTAGCATGTATAATGGCTCAGAATCATAAAGAACATACATGTTTGAGAAACTTGGAGCACTGTCAAACTGCTGGACTGTGAAGGGTAGGGGAATGGTGGTGAGATGTGGAACCTCAGGGTCTCAGAGTGCCAAGGAGTATGCAGCAGGGCCATTGATAGCTGTGAGCAAACGCTTGCTCTGGCAGCTGCACAAAAGATGGATAGAGGGGATAAGAAAGAGACAAAGTGACAAGCAAGTGTAAAGAGTCCATTGGACTGGTCCAGGTGAGAGGGACTGAGCCTGGATCCAAGGCAGGGGCAGAGACCTGGATTTCAGAGACATCCGGAAGGACACTCAACACACCCACTGAAATCCTACCTCGTCTTCAAAACCCAATTCAAATACACGCAGCTTCCCTGATTTCCTTCACACCCACGATAGTGACCTCCTTCCTCTGAGATCCCAGACCGTTGACCTCTCTACCACACTCCTAATCACATTCTGTCCCTGTTAGAAGAGTCTGCACATGCCTGTGCGTCCCCCAAATACTCCCTGAAAGCTGGGACCATATCTTATCTTCCGGAGGCTCCTCCTTGCCCTGCATACAGAGGCCTTGATTTTGTTTGTTGAGTCAAATTCGGTTGAAATACAGGGAGGCTGTAATTTGGATGCCTGCTAACCGTGAGAGCTGTCCACACCTGGAGAGGCTGCCCCATGAGCTGAGGACTCCCGACACTGGGAGAGCTCAGGCAGGCTGAGGTCCCTCTTCAGAGACCCTGCAGAGGGGGTTTTAAATTGAGTGTGAGGTCAGGAGGCACACCTAGGTCTGCTCCAACTTTAAGTCACCCTCTGAACCCTCGTATTTTATAGGGGCTAGTCTCCCTTTCCCAGAGAGGGAGACTCACTTACCCTGGGCTGCACAGCAAGTCCCCCCAGGGGTGGAGCTGGGTACCTGGCCCAGGATTTTCCCCAGAGTTGGTCGAGGCTGTGTCTGGGGGCTTGGAGTCCCTTTTCTGGGGGCAACATGATGCTTGTGACGTGCCCTCAATAGACACTATCCCGAATGGCATGGAAGTTTTGCTGACTCAGATTTTAACCATTTTTCTCCACAGCTGGTAGGAGGGGGAAAATTCTGGAAAGAAACAGAGGCAGGGCAGAGGCCAAATCCAGTGAACAGAGTGGATGATTTGGGGAGCTCAGATGCAATGACCTCTTTATGCACTCAGCAATACTTATTGAGCACCCATTTTGTACAGCCCCTGGGATTGGTCGCCCATCTCCACCACTCATGGCAGCTACAGTGCCTCTAAGGTGACACTGGGAGCCAAAGAATGAGGTGGGAAGGGGGATTAAAATGTGCTGGGGCCCACTGTATGCTCAAGATGTTCTTAGGTACTTTGCTGTTTAGCACCTCTCAAGCTTTACTGTGCGTAAGTCACCTGGGATCTTGTTAAAATCAGATCCTGACTTGGTAGGTCTGAGCTGGGGCCTGAGATTCTGCATTTCTAACAAGCCCCCAGGAGATGCCAAGGCTGCTGCTCTGCAGACCATGCTTTGAGGAACAAGGATAAATCTATGTCAAAGAAGAAAATATAAAAACAGAGAAAGAAAACCTGCAGAAAGGTGCTGAGTCCATTTCACAGATGAGGAAGCTGAGGCTTAAAGAAGTGAAGAACCAAAGAATGGAGTCCTCAACCCCAGGGACTCTTGTAGGGAGACAGGACACATACACAGTCTGATGCAGAAGGGATATACCCCAGCTTCAGTGGAACAGCCCTTGGGATGCTTCTTCCTCCTTCACTGAGGGTGAAGCTTTAGGAAGTAGAAAGGGGCAGGTCCCAGGCCCGACTTTGAGGAAGGGTCATCCTTACAACGAGGCCTGGGGCTGGTGGGAATGCCACAGTCCCCATGAGTGAGGGGAGGGGCCACCCCAACACAAGTAACTTCTTTTTATTCAAAGGCCAACTCTCATCACCCTCGATGTTGCTATTTCATCCTTTTATTTTCCTGCGGAGACACTGAGATCTGGCAGAAGGCTGGGGGTGGCCCAGGCTGTGTTGACAGAACCCTGGTGCTATGGCAGGAGCAGAGGCTGTGGCTTCCTGCTGGGCTCCTGCTTTGCTTCTTCTACCATCCTCTTCTTCCTCTCCCTCCTCTCTCTCAGCTTCTCCCTTCATCCCATCTTCTTTCTGCTCTCCCCTCATATTCCTCTTCTTTGCACCTCCCCTTTCTTCCCCCCCGCCCCCCGCCACCTTCTTTCTTGCTTTCTGGTCTAGCTGTAATGAGATGTCCCTGCAGGGAGCCCTGGTTCTTGACCAAGATGGAAGGAGAATCTGGGACAGGAAAAGACCCCAGCGAGAGGTTAGGGTTGCACGCAGGGACGCTGGAACCCCGGCTGAACTTCAGCTTTGGAGCAGAAGACGGAGTCCATGTCTGTCAGCCTCCCACAGCCTGGCCTAACACCGCAGGGAACTAGTGGTCTGTGCAACATGACGGTCAGTGATGGGTGTTGGCCTCTGTCCATCTGGCTGCATCATCGTCAACATGTGGGTTCCACATCCTGGGCTTTCTGCCCAGGTATTCCCTGAAAAGCAAGCCCCAGGAGGAACTTGGGTGTATAGCTGGCCTGCAGGTAGGGTTCCCACCGAACCCTACACCCCACTGGCTGGTGCTGGCTACTCAAAAAGAAATACTCGTTGAGGCACAGAAGACGCACCACTACATCCCCTGTGTAATGATGTTAAGAGCATCCTGAGGGCAGAGACTGAGTTGCCTTCACCTTAGCAACCTCTTCTGCACCCAGCACCAGGAGTCATTTAGGACACGTCTAATAAATATTGACACTGGCTGGTCCATTAGTGAGACCTGGGTTTGCTTGTCATTTCTGCCACCCATTGGCTGAGGGTATGACCTTGAGCTCATTACCTAACCACACAACTAGATGACAGTCTTATGAGAGTGGGTTTGTAAATTCTGTTGCTTTTCTTGTTAAAAAATGTTGAAATCTAGTGTTCCCTATCCATGGACTAGACTGTACCTATCACAGAATGCCAAGTGTAGGAAATAGAGTTATTGCTGCGAGGATAAGCGGGTGCTGCCCCAGGACACCCCCCAGCTGCCATCTCAGAGGCCAACACCTGCCCCACCTGCCCAGCAGAGGTTCAACATCCTGGACAGCCCATGTGCCTGTTGTGATCTTAATTTACAAGAGAGGATCATGAGCTGCATTCAGGGGACGCTACTCAGAAATCTCACGAAAGTCCTTTGTATTAACTATGTGTGTACATGCGTGCGTGAACACGTATACCTTTTTCCCAAAATTGGATTACTGGATGTGGGCCACTTTTGTTGCACCCACTTCTCATGCTTCATTCTTTCCCTCTGAAACCACCCCTAATGCTCAAGGCTGCTCTCGGTCTGCTGCTGAGTTGGGGTCTGGGGAGGGCGACACACAGCAGCCATGGCCGAGCAGCCCTCTGTGAATTTGGCTCAGACCAGCAAGCGGGAAGTTAGGCGGGTGCCCTCTACTGCACCCCCATTCTGGGGGATATTTTGCTGGTGAGGGCACACCTGGCCCCAGAAGAACTATCACTGACTCTGAGGACAGGGTGTGGAGGGTTTGACCTGGTCCCTGAGACTCATGGGACCAGCCACCCGCACCCAGGACTTGTGGCTCTGAGGAGCAAAGCGTGTTCCCAGGCCTCAGGGCTGCAGGCTGGGGCTGGACTATAGCTCTGCTGTGCCCCTGCTTGCCTGGTGCTTGACACAGTACCTGGCCCACAGTAGGTTCCCAGTAGACACTAGTTGAATACATGAACTTGAGCATTAAACTGAACCTTAGTTTCCTCTCCTTTAAACAGGAAACTAGGGGAATATCTGCTCCTCTTACTCACAAAGGTGCTGTGGGGAGCAAAGGAGATCATGTAGAGTGCAGACCCGAGTCATGCCGGCAGGACTAGCTCTGCCCCTTCCGAGCTGCGTGACCCAGGCAACCTCTTTGAGCCTCAGTTTCCTCATGTGCAAAATGGTAGTAGCAGTGAACCCTTCCTCACTAGGGTGGGAGCTCAGTGCTTGGCACATTAGGCACTTGGTATATTATTTTCATCCTGCTTTTGAAAGAGCTTTGAAAACTACAAAATGCTTTGCAAATAGGAATTACTATTTTTCTGTTGAGGGATCCCACGTCAGAGAACCAAATACGTTTTGGCTTCAGGAAAGAGTTCATACAATAAACAAAATTAACAATAATTACGGGCCGGCCCGTGGCTCACTTGGGAGAGTGTGGTGCTGATGGCACCAGGGCCCCGGGTTCGGATCCCATATAGGGATGGCCGGTTCGCTCACTGGGTGAGCGTGGTGCTGACAACACCAAGTCAAGGGTTAAGATCCCCTTACCAGTCATCTTTTAAAAAAAAAAAAAAAAAAAATTAACAATAATTATAATAATTGTCTTTACTGAGTGTCTATTAAATGCCAGGCACTAAAATTAAAAAATAAATAAAAGACAAAAAATAAAAATACAATTAAAAAATAGAAAAAAACAGAAAACAACAAAAATGCCAGGCACGGTGCTGGCTATCACTTTATACACATGTCATGGGA